CCTGGTGATTGGCCTAAAGTCACTCAACTGGCTTTCATACCTAAGACAGGACTAGAATTTACTGCCTCCTGGTGATTGGCCTAAAGTCATTTAGTGGGCTTTCATGCCTAAGGCGGGACTAGAACTCACCCTCTCCAAGGTGATTGGCTGAAAGTCACCTAGCTGGCTTTCATGACGAAGGCAGGACTAGAACTCACCGTCTCCCAATTTCGAGCCTACTGCTTTCTGGACCAAACCACCATGGCAAGATTGAAGCTTATATCTGCATCGCTGGGGCAGTGAAATGTATGAATTTTGGCTATTTTCGGGGAGTGTCTGTTTTTATGAGGAAGTAAAGGCCACTGAACCGAGCTGTGCTGCCTGGGGAATTCTGGGAGTTGTAGTCCACACATCTTCAAGTGGTTAAGGTGGAGAAACTGTCACTCAAACCCTCCTTACCTTCCTTCTCCAGGCCTGGGACTCTTCCTAAGAGCCCATCTGGGGTTTTCTGGTTTTCGTCTTCACCAAGCGCCTTGTGGTCGCCGATGGCCCTGCTGCGCTGCCCCCTTCCCGCCTCGCTGTTCTCCTGGTAGAATCGGACCCGCTCGCAGATGGTGGGGCTCGGGAAAACGGTCTGGACGCCCTGCACCTCGCTCTGCAACATCCATCGGTTGGCAGGGTGCTGCTGGGTCGGTAAATGAAGCTGGCCTGAGGCCGCCTGCTTGGCCATCTGTTTCACTTCGGCTGGAGGGAAACCACGACAGAAGGACGTGCCGGTTGGATTAAATAAATAAATAAATGAATTAAAATAAATAAATAAAACAAATTAACTAAAATTAAATTAACTAAAATTAAATTAACTAAAATTAAATTAACTAAAATTAAAATAAATTAACTAAAATTAAATTAACTAAAATTAAATTAAATTAACTAAAATTAAATTAAATTAAATTAAATTTGTCAACTCATAAAATATTTATCTGGGGTAACTGCCGGAATCCTGACAAAAATTAAAATTAAAACTTTGGACTGGTTTTAGTGGGACTTGACCACTTCAGCTCCTACAGTAAGGAAAGCTCCACAGGATTAAATACAGGTAGTCCTCAACTTACAATGGTTTGTTTAGTGACCGTTCGAAGTTGCAATGGCACAGAAAAAAATGACTTATGTTCGTTTTTCACTCTTATGACCGTTGTGGCATCCCCGTGGTTGCGTGATCCAAATGCAGGCGTTCTGACAACTGACTCACATTTATGACAGCCACAGGGTCACATGATCCCCTTTTGCGACCTCCTGACAAGCAAAGTCAAAGGGGCAGCCGCATTCGCTTAACGACCGTGTGACTGATTTTAACAAAGGCAGTTTATTCGCTTAGCAGCGGTGTCAAATGGGGGGAAAACTCACTTAACACATTTCTCATTTAGCAACATAAATTTTGGGCTCAACTGTTGGGTCGCAAGCCAAGGAATACCTCTACAGCTAGTCTTCGACTTACAGCCCCACAACTGAGCCCAATCTTTAGGTCACTTGAGTGAGACAGCTGTGAAGAGAGTTTTGCCTCATTTTATGGCCTTTCTTGACACCGTTGTGAAACGGATCACTGCGGTTGTTCAGTTAGAAACACGGTTATACTTTCCCACTGACGTTCTGGAAACAACAGACGGAAATTAATCAAGGAGAGAAGCAACCTGGAACTAAGGAGAAATTATCTAACAGTGAGGACAATTAACCAGTGGAACCGCTTGCCACCAGCAAGCTTTGTTGGAAGTAGATAGGTGCAAATGATGACCTCATGACCCCAGGGTGCTGTAACCATGGTAAATGCCAAGAACCCAAATTTTGGGAATCTACGATGGTCGCAAGTACGAGGATCGACTGTCAATACTTTTTTCAGCACTGTCACAACCGGTCTTTAGACAAACGATCTTTTATTGCCTTCCCAAAGTCACTGCATCAAGTGAGATGGGCCGCATATGAATTTAATAAATGAGTATAAATAAATAAGATTGACAAAAGTTTTCCACAGAAAAAAATAAAAAATAAATCCTTTACTTTGACTTCTACTGCCATCTAGTGGGCAGAAAGGAAACAACGGGGTTCCTTTTTCCGCAGCCGATATTGGGAGGTTGTTGTCTATGTCACCGTATTCTACTCACCGGTGGCCAGTTTGGCGCAGTGGGCAAGGCGATAGGAGTAGAAAGTGGGAGACTGGGAGTTCTAGTGCTCTCTGAGGGTCTCCCTCGAGGCACAAGTTCCGATTGTCCCTACTTCAACTATACTATCCAAAGAGCAATGCTTCTTAAAACTTTTGGCAACTTTACAGAACACAGAATAACAAGAGTTGGAAGGGACCTTAGAGGTCTTCTAGTCCACCCCCTTGCTCAAGCAGGAAGCTCTACACCATTTCTAGACAAATATGTAATGAAGCAGTAATGAAGCACCCACAACTTCTGGAGGCGAGATGCTCCGCCGATTAATTGTTCTCACTGTCAGGAAATTCCTCCTTAGTTCTAAGTTGCTTCTCTCCTTGATGAGTTTCCATCCGTTGCTTCCTGTCCTGCTCTCAGGTGCTTTGAAGCAGTGGTCACCAACTGGTGGGCCGGGGGACCGCTAGGGGTCCGCGAGAAAATGTTGGTGCTCCGCAGAGAAAGGTCACCCCCAAAGCAATTATTCCAGGCTGTGCGGGAACACAAGGCTGCCCCGCCCACCTGGCCCGTGGGAACACAAGGCTTGCGTTGCTTGCATTGTGAACAACATGAGGTAGTGAGGGGAAGGGGGAAAGAGAGGAAGGGGGGAACTTGCCCCACGCGCCCCACGCGCCTGGCCTGGCCACCGGGCTGCTTCTTTCCGCTTCTTTCTTCTTCTGCTTTTGGCTGCACTCAAGGAAAGCAGCAAAAGTCTTTCTTTCTCTCCCCCAAACTCCGGCAGAAATGAGTCTTTGGGACCCTGCAAGGCCTCCTGCTCCAAGAGGCTGTGCCGGCGCAACAGGTCTCACGAAGACTCATTTCTGGCGGAGTTTGGGGGAGAGAAAGAAAGACTTCTGCTGCTTCTGCTATTTTCCTTGCATGTAGCCAAAAGTCTCTCTCTCTCTCCCACTCTCTCTCTCTCTCTCTCTCCCATTGAGAATGGAGCTGGAGACTGTATCCTGCGATCCCAAATAAACAACAATCGATCGGTAGGAAAATGGGGTGGGGAATTTTCCTGCAGACTTTTGGGGGGTATTTTCCCAGGGTCTCTGCTGCTTTCTGCAGAGACCCTGGGAGAATGTCAGCAAGCCACTGTAAGTCAAAATTCATATTGGTGATCCACGGGATTTAAAATAGTTTGGTGGTCCCTGAGGTCCAAAAGGTTGGCGACCCTTGCTTTGGAGAATAGGTTGACCCCCCTCTTCTTTGGGGCAGACCCTCAAATATTGGAAGACTGCTATCATGTCACCCCTAGTCCTTCTTTCCATTAAACTAAACGTAGCCAATTCCAGCAACGTTCTTCGTATGTTTTAGCCTCCAGTCCCCTAATCCTCTTTGTGGCTCTTCTCTGCGCTCTTTCTAGTCTCAACGTCGTTTTTTTACATCGTGGAGACCAAAAGTGGATGCAAGCATTCTAGTGCGGCCTTACAAAGTGGCCTTCACACTTCGTGCGATCTTGATTCTATCCCTCTGTTAATGCATTGGCTTTAAGAAGTCAAGATGTCAACTCCCAGAATTCCCCAGCCAGCATGAGGAATTCTTAATGGGCAGAAATGAACCAGCCCAAAGTCAATTACTAATCTGTGTAACTAACTGCCCCAAACTTTGGATGATCTTAAAAGGGGACTAGATGTTAGGAATTGATAGTCACCTAGCAGTTGGGTTGGAAATATATAAACCAGGATAGACATTTAATACTGTCTCTTTAAGGGAATGCTAAAATTATAATTGGGTGTGGTTCCTCAAACGGCCATAAGATGGAGCCAGAAACCTGGGTTGTTCTGTTCTGTTGTTGCTGTGAGTTGTTTGGTGCTAGATGTTCTGATGTTCGCTAGTTTTGGTTCCTACATTTTTCCTATTGACTGTTGCCGATCGTCGTTCTCCTTGGATTGCTGTGAGTCTATTTACTGAACTGTTTATGATACTGGACTTTGTTATTTGGATTAACCCTAAAAACTGACTGCTTTAACCATGTATGACTTGGACTGCTTGTTGGACTTTGCTTAACCGTTTACTGGAAGTAAAAACCTACATTTTACTATTCAGTGTATCTGTGTGCTGGTCGTGTGTTATTCAACATTACTCCGTCTCAATTACCTCAACAAAGGTCTATCAAGGGTTACCCATCTTGATGACCTCATGATGCCACCAAGCTGAGGGCACCATTGCTAAATCCCAGTTGTGGCAGGGGGGAAAGAAAGGGGGAGAAAGAGAAAGCCACGTCTCCATTTGTTGAGCCCCCAAAGAACATCTAGCGGATCCCAAAGGCTAGGTTAGCATCCTCACCTGATCCAACAGGGTTGATCTCCTAACTGTAGGGCTGAGAATGCTGGGTGTCGTAGCCCCAAGCTCACTTAAATGCCTCCCCCTCCCCAATTTCTGTGGACTGGAAAACCCCCAAACTCACATGTCCATTCGGACTGGGCCATTCTCCTCTCCTCGCTTCTCAAATTCGCTTCGTAGATTTCAGGAGCTGTTTTTTTGAAGGACCTGCAAAACCAGGTTGATGGCATCGTTTTTACTGACCCTAGATATAGTTAGACCCCACTTTATCTAGGTTACCTCTAAACATCCTAGAGGGTTGGGTTTTTTTTTGCCTTTTCCACCCTCTTAATTTAAATAACAGAATTACAAGTGTGGCCTTATCAAGGCCTTATAAAGTGGTGTTAACGCTTGACGTGATCTTGATTCTCTCCCTCTGTTTATGCATCCTAGAACTCCGTTGACTTTTTGGGCAGCTGCAGCACACGGCTGGCTCCCATTCAAGCGACTGTCGAGTAGGACTCCAAGATCCCTCTCCCAGTTACTACTATTGAGCCAGGTACCGTCTACACTATACCTGTGCGTTTGGTTTTACTTGCCTAAATGTCGGACCTTCCTTTTTTTCACCACTGAATTTCGTTTTGTTAGATAGCACCCAATGTTCAAATCTGTCAAGATCCTTCTGTATCCTAAGCCTTTATCTTCTGGAGAGTTTGTGTCACGCCCCTGGTGGAGACTGACTCCGAGGGAGAGGAGGAACAGCCGACAGGGAGTGGGAGTGCGGCTCCGGAGGTTGTCGAGAAGGCTGGGGAAGGGCAGAGGCCGGCTGAGCAGTCAGAGGAGGACCCAGGCCCATCCCTTATCCGTCCTAGGGCATGCAGGGAGGACAGGGATAAGGGAGAGATGTGGTCTACTTGGGAGGAGAGGTCCTTGATCCTCTTCATGGGCTGCAGCTGTGACAACTGGATAAGAGGACGGACATGCATACGGGCCAGTGCTGGAAACAAAGCATGGAAATATCTCTAGTTTATGGTTCCTCTCTGAGTTTGGCGTCCTTCCCAGGGTGTGTTACGTTATCTGTGGACGTCCTCCAGCCCTTTATCTTGCCTGGTTTGTGTTGTTTTTTATTCTTTACAATTTAAACGGCATTTCCTCCTTCTTGTAACTGTTTGTGGGGGAGTCTTTTGTCTCCAGTCAAGGATATCCGGAGCTTGGAAGCAAAGTGAAGGAATAAAAGGGGCTTCCACCTGTTTTTGTGACTGTGTTTATTTTGTATCCCACCCTGGGGTCATCACAGTTTGGCTATTCCTGCCAGCTTGGTGTCTGCAAATTTGATGAGTTCCCTATCTATCCCCAAATCCAAATCATTGATGAAGATGTTGAAGAGTATTGGGCCTAAGACAGAGCCTTGGGGTACGTACCCCACTGCATACTTCCTGTCATGGAGATGCAGTTCCTTTGAGGACTACACGTTGAGTGCAGTTGGTCAGCCAGTTACGAATCCATCTGGTGGTGATGCTGCCTAACCCACTCCTTTATCTAGTAGTAGATTATGGTCTACTTTATCAAATGCTTTACTGAAGTCCAAGTAAATTATATCGACACGATTCCTCTGGTCCACTAATTTTATTAGATAGTGCTCAACTGTGATGACCTGGAGTGTCCCACAAACATAACAAAAACCAAAACGTAAATAAATGTTCTTTAATGCCTCCCACTTGGCTTCACTGTTCAACTGTTCACAGTTGGAGTCGCAATCCTTCTTTCCAACATAACATTCCAAACGAAATACAGTCCAACTCAAAGAGCAGATAACGAAGCAATAAAAAAAACCAAAAACAAACCGCACTGAAGAAAGTTCCACGACAGACCAGGATAATTAATTACAAACTTCAAGAAGATAACCAGGTATGGTCTGTTGGAAGAACGCCAACCAAGATAAACCTCCATCCAGGAATAAAACACGCTTTGTTTCCAGCGTTTGCCCATACGCATGTCCGTCCTCTTCTTCAGTTGTCACAGCTGCAGCCCCTGAAGAAGATCATGGCCACTTCCTCTCTCATAAGCCAAGTTGTTTCTTTCTCCGTTCCTCTCTGCGTGTTCTAGGATGCAGAGGGGATGGGCCTGGGTTCTCCTCTGCCTGCTCAGTCGGCCTCTGCCCTTCCCCAGCCTTCTCCACCACCTCTGGAGCCACCCTTCCACTCCCTGCTGGCTGTTCCTCCTCTTCCTCGGAGTCAGTCTCCAACAGGGGCACGACACCAATATTCCAGTCAGTCGAGATCCTTGTAGGTGTCAATGAACGATTACTTTACGGTTTTTCTCTTGGTGGAAAGAATTCAGACTGTTCCCCCGCCCCACCGATTTCTTGGTAGGCGCGACGTACACCGGATGCTGCGCTTTTCCTCTGCCCTCTACATCCCTATTTCTCTTGTGCTACAAACCGGGGATTTTAGGGAAGAGGACTCACCCGTCTGATGCTTTGATCCCATCCAACATGGAGCTTCCTCGGCGTAGCTGGCAGCTCTTCTTCCTCCTGAAGGTCACCCCTGGGGATAAGAGCTAAAAACCCACACTGATAAGGAGGCGATCTGGGCCGGGAGGGGCAGCGGGGAGGGGAGGGCACATGACAATTTCTGTGCAGGTAGTTCCTATGCCTGTTTTCAAAGTTGCAAAGCGGGGGGGAGAAAAACCTGAAGGAATAGCAAGGCAGTTTAAAATCAAAAGTACATTCCACCCTTACCTTTCAAAGATTGTAGCCTAGGCTACCATCTTCACCTTCCACCTGGGGAAAATCCTCCATTGGAGAACATGATGGATGACACCCAGCGCGTGAACCTGCTTCTGTTGGAGAGTGTGATTTATGACACACCCAGGGGGGTGGGGGGAAAGGCAGGGTCAGAGGTGGCTGTAAATTACATGTGCCACAGTTGGCTTCATTTAGGTTATGTCATGCCCCTGTTGGAATCTGATTTGGGGGTGGGGTGGGGTGGGGTGTCGAACAGCTGACAGGGAGTGGAAGCGTGGCTCCAGTGGCTGTGGAGGAAACTGGGGAAGGGCACAGTCCGGCTGGGCATTCAGAGGAAGACCCAGGCTCTCACCCCTCACTCTTCATCCTAGGGCATGCAGGGAGAAACAGATAAGGGAGCAACGTGGCTTAGGGGGGAGGAAAGGGCCCTGATCCCCTTCATTAGCTGCAGCTGGGAAAACAGAATTTAAAAAGGGCGTTTGCGCACAGCACCTTGCTGGAAGCAAAGCTTGGATTATCTTTGTCAAGTCTTATCTGGGTTCTGGCGTCCTCCCAACTGCTGCCCTGTCTCGATAATGGCTGCAGAGTGGTTTATGTTGCTTTTTATTTATTATTTTTTATGTACTTTGGGTTCGGACTGAATTTCTTCCCTTTAAAAACTGTTCTTGGGAGAGTTTTTTCTCCAGCCGATGATAACTGGACCTTGAGGGCCAAGTTGGAGGAATTAAAGGGACTTTACCTACTTTTGTGACTTTGTTGCTTTTGTGCCACGCCCCTTTGGGTTATCATAGGTTAATGCCGGCATGTTGCTCCTAATAAATCCTTTGACTTTTTTGGAAACTTGGCTCAAGGCTCATGATTTAATTAGGGCAATTGCCGGAACCCTGACACCTCGATTTACAACCGTTCATTTAGTGACCGTTTGAAGGGCACTGAAAAAAAGTGACTCTTATTTAGCCCTTATTTAGCGTTGTACCATCTCTATGCTCGCATAGTCAAAATTCCGATGCTCGTCCACTGACTCATACTTATGACTGTCACAGTGTCCCGGGGTCCCCCTTTGCGACCTTCCAACGAATGAAGTTAATGGGGAAGCCGGATTCGCTTAATGACCACCATTGCTAGTTTTAACAACTGAAGGGGTTCCCTTTACCGCTGGGGAGAGACAGCTCGTAAAATAGAGCTAAGCTCGCTCGACGACGGTCTCGCTTAGCGATGGAAAAGTGGACGCTCCCTGGTGGTCATAAGTCGAAGACTACCTGGAGCTGGGAGGGGAGTTCGAATTAACCATCTGCCACTTTGCAATACAATCTCCATCAGGTGCACAAATATATTCTACTGTCAATGCAGCCTCTGGAGAAGGAAAAAGATTTTGGCACATGAATTACCGGGAGTTCTCGTTTTACGACCAGAATCGAGACCAGGACTTCCTGCTGATAATGAAGATGGATGTTAAGCGAGTCACCTCCAATTTTACAACATGTCAGTCATTAAGCAAATCGCTGCAGTTGTTAAGCGAGTTTTGCAGTCGTTAAGCAAATCTGGCTTCCAACATTGAGCTTTGCTTATCCAAAGCCTGTTGGGAAGTCCACAAACGGCGATTATGTGACCTCGGGACACTGCGATGAGAGCTAGTCCTCGACTTATGACCTCAACTGAGCCCAAAAACTCATGTTGTTAAGTGAGACATTTATTGAGAGTGAATTTGGCCCCTTTTCACGACATTTCTTGCCACAGTTATTAAGTGATTCACGGCAGTTGTTAACTTAACAGCACGGTTAAGTGAATCTGGTCGCAAAAGGGGAACACGTGACCCCGGGACACCGGAGACCATCGTAAGTACGAGTCAGTTGCCAAGCATCTGAATTTCAATCACGTGACCTCAAGGGGAGGCTGCCAGGGTTGTACAAGTGTGAAAAACAATCATGTCCCTTTTTCGATGCCGTTGTAACTTTAAACAGTCACTAAACAAAAAGTTGTATGTCGAGGACTGTCCGTAATCGTTCTTTCAGGAAATTTCTCTGTGACAACCCAAAGGGGCATGGCGCAAAAGCAACAAAGTCACAGAAGTAGGTAAAGCCCCTACAATTCCTCCAACTTGGCCCCCAAAGTCCAGATATCATCGGCTGGAGAAAAAAAACTCCCAAAAACAGTTTTGAAAGGGAAGAAATTCCATCGGAACCCAAAGTACATCTAAATTATAAATAAAAACCAACACAAACCACACTCCAGTGATTAACGAGACAGGGCAGGATAAGGAATTGCAGACTTCAAAAGATAACGAAACACACACAGTTGGAGGATGCCAGAACCCATATAAGACGTGACAAACAAAGATAATGCATGCTTTGCTTCCAGCAAGGTGCTGTGCACAAACACACTTTATATCCTGTTCTCCCAGCTGCAACTAATGAAGGGGATCAGGGCCCTTTCCTCCCCCATAAGCCAGGTTGCTCCCTTTTCCGTTTCTCGCTGCGTGCCCTAGGATGAAGAGGGGGGTGAGGGCCTGGGTCTTCTTCTGAATGCCCAGCTGGATTGTGACCTTCCCCAGTTTCTCCAAAGCCACCAGAGCCACACTCCCATTCCTTGTCAGCTGTTCGACCTCCCCATTAGAATCAGATTCCAACAGGGGCATCACATTCTCCTTGGTTCTAGATTGGATCTTCCATGATCTTAAAAACCTTCCCCATGAAAAAGCAACGTAATCACTGTTAACCAAGCCCACTACAGGTTGCAAATGAGCTTCCACTCTCTGTCCCGCTTTACCTGATAGTTTGGCTCTGTTCCTTTCGGATTTAGGGGACTTCTGGGTGTTTCCGGTCCAAAATCGCTCCAGTAGGTGGTATCCTGGCTTTGGTTGGCATTCTTGGGCCTGTTTTCAGCCATTTGGTAAGACTGGACCACCAGGGATCTGTAGGCTCCCGGAACCCGGAAGGGCGGTGGCACGTAGCCCTCCGTCGGAGGAGCCACCGTCTTCCACTGCAGGGCGCAGTCGCCATTTAAGGGAGGCTGAATGCTTCTCAAGATGTTCTCCAGCTTCTCATGGCAACCCTGGGCGGGAATCCCGACGGGGAGTTGCTCCTTTGCCTGGGTGCCCCAAAAGAGCTGCCGAGGTTTGTCGAAACCCTCCAGCGCACCCAGTTTGGTTTCGGTGCGGCAGAGGGAATCCGTCGCTTGCTGGAGCAAAGTCTGGCAAATCTTGAGATCGAGAACGCACTTGCCGAACTGGTGCTCAAACTGGGACCGGACGTTCCCGTTTTTGCCGCGGGTGCTTCGGAGTACCTCGTTCATCACCGAGGCGCCGTTCGGGTCCTCGTCCAAGGATAGGCTCGCCTCGTGATCCTGGATCTCGGCCAGCTGAGGGGAAGAGAGGTCGGTCATATCGCCGGTAGAACTCGTTGATTCTCGTCGAGAATCGGGGTCCTGCTCGGTTCTCGACATCTCGTCCCCCTCCGTCTCGTCGCCCAGCTCTGGGTAACAAGTGTATATCTCGTTGATTTGCACGCTGGACAAGCTCAGGTTGGCGTTGCTGTCCTCTTCCGCGTCTTTCAAATGCCCCTCGAAGAACGGCCTGGATTGCGCCGTGCGGAGAACTGGCTCGGGGACCTGGACGAGGTCATTCAAATGACTCTCGAAGAAA